GTCCTTGAAGCAGACGGCTGAGTTTAAGTACGTCTTTGCGCTGCTCACTCAGGCCCTGAGTTGGGAGGTAGACGCCCTTGGTAGTTCAGTGTCGTCTGCAGAGTTCTGCGTTCCTTGGCAGGAGATGCGACCTGAGTTCGATCTGCCCGGGGATCTGCGTGTGGTGATGCCCTTCACCAACGTCCTCGACCTCAAGAGGGATCAAGCAGCAGAGGCTTCCAAAACACATGATGCTGTCAAGTCAATCAGTTGAGAATGAAGTTTCTTCTTTGCAGGCGGCCAACGCACTCGTCCTGCGGTTGAAGGTTCTGCGGATGCTCTTGCATGCGGTGAATAGGTCCCCAGTTAGTAGTCTTTTAATAATTTTATATTTATTATTATTAAGTCAATGTTAATAATAACTTGAACTATCTACAGTTAGGCTTGCACGGGAACTCAGGTGAAGCAAACCGTGGAGGCAACCAGCGATCCCTTGCAGGTGAAGTTCTACAATGCCTTGCAGACCTGCCAGGATCCCTTTGCCTGGGGCCACCAAGAGTGGAGCATCATCGGGGAGATGTCGTCCTCGTGCTCTGCGCCCTCGTCCTCGTCCTCGTCCTGTGCCTCGATGGTGAAGACGATCAACGCGATCCAAGCAGGGGTCCACGACTCAAGCGCCCTCGTCCTCGTCCTCGTCCTGTGCCTCGATGGTGAAGACGATCAACGCGATCCAAGCAGGGGTCCACGACTCAAGCTTCTTCAAGGCGGTGCAGAGCTCTGCCAGGGAAGAGCATCCCGAAGTCCGGGCGCTGGTGTCAGGCTGCCTGGACAGTTGGCGCATGACCTCGTCCTCGCAGGCCCCAGAGCCGGCAGTCGAGAGCCAGGACGGCGCCGAGGAGGACAGCTACGTCGACGTCAGTCGGACTCCGAGAAAAGGAGAAGACTAGCCATCTCCGCGGCCAAGGCTGGCAGGTTAAAGTTAAGTTGCTTTCATTGTAACTGTTCAGTCCAAAATAAAAATGTAGTCCTTATTATATTAAATGATGTCTTGCAGGAGGAGATGGCCTTCTACTTGCAGGCCCTCGTCTTCGACCTCGATCAGCCCTCGTCCAAAAAGGGACTTGTGGAGGCACTGTCTGGCAACACTTTCTTGAAAGTGTCAGACGGCGCCAAGAAGACAGGAACGGCCTGGATGTATGACAGCGCTCTTTTTACAGAGCCCTCTGGAGTGTATTGCAAGCTCCACAACCCGTACACCAAAATGCCGGTGTGACTTGTATGATTGAGTGTGCTTGGGTTTAGTACCAGTACTAGTTCAGTACTACTACGGCGAATTGCTACTTAGCTACTTCGAACGACACAGTGTTACAAATTTTAAGTTTGCGGACAGGTGTGGCTCAGACAAAGGGGATGGTGACTGATGCTATTCACAGCCAGCGTGAAATTGTATTTGTTGCAGACGGTTAAGTTCATTATTGTATCAGTTGATCACTCACCAAGCCTAGGTTCAACAAGGCGGCCTGGTCGATCTTTGTCGAGTGCTTCGACGCCCTCGCCAACACAGAGGAGCTTAGAAACTCTAAACCATACAGTACAACTCCTAGACCTTATTAAACTCCAGACTCACGCCGCTGGATTCTCACAGTCACAAGTTCACTGTTGGTTTTCAGGACGTCCTCGTCACCTTTGTGCCGGACGACAGCAAGAGGGCGATGACTGAGGTGAGGCGCTCCATGGGCAACATCGGCCTCGGACAGCAGCAGATCCTTTTGCTTCCAGATCAAGCGTCGTTGCAAAGGAGACGGGATTTCAAGATGGTGCGCCAGTGACTCGTTTGATTTAAACTACTATTAGAAGTTAACAAGCCTGAATTTTAAGAGTCGAATACATTATTTACGTTTGGTAACAGTAGTATGTCTGGGATAAGATAGTAATAATTAAATTACTTGTATTGTTCAATCTCCGACCGACAATCTGGTACTGTTGCTAGTCTTTCTTCTTACTCACTTGCTGACTTACTCACTACTTGTCTACTTCCACGTCTGCTTCCACTTCTACTTCGTCTTCTACTGACTACTACTAACTACTAACTACTCACTACTACCACTACTACTACTACTACTACTACTACTACTACTACTACTACTACTACTACTACTACTACACTAGTACTACTACTACTACTACTACTAACCACTACTACTACTACTACTACTACTACTACTACTACTACTACTACTACTACTACTACTACTACTACTACTACTACTACTACTACTACTACTACTACTGCTACTACTACTACTGCCACTACTACTACTACTACTACTACTACTACTACTACTAAACTACTACTACTACTACTACTACTACTACTGCTACTACTACTACCACCACTACTACTGCTGCTACTACTACTGCTACTACTAGTCTAAAACTTTTTCTACTACTACTACTACTACTACTACTACTACTACTACTACTACTGCTACGACTTCCAGTGACTACTACCACTACTACTACGACGACCACTAGTACTGGTAGTAGTAGTAGCTGTAGTAGTAGTAGCAGTAGGTAGTAGTACTCGTTGTACCTTCTACTACTACGACGACTTCTTCTACTAGTACTAAGTTAGTAATACTACTATATACTACTGCTACTATTACTAGGACGACGACGACTACTACTAATACTACTACTACTACTACTACTACTACTACTACTACTACTACTGCTACTGCTACTACTACTACTATTATTAACTACTACTACTACTACTACTACTACTGCTACTACTACTACTGCTACAACAGCAACAACTACTACTACGACAAACTACGACGACGACGACTACACTACTACTACTACTACTACTACTACTACTACTACTACTACTACTACTACTACTACTACTACTACTACTACTAGTACGTACTACTACTACTACTACTACTACTACTATTACTAACTATTACTATTACTACTACCACTACTACTACTACTACTACTACTACTACTACTACTACTACTACTACTAGTACTACTACCACCCACTACTACTCCTAGTACTACTGGTACTGGTTCTAGTAAGTGTAGTTAGTACTACTGTTGTTTTATTGTTACTACTACTACTACTACTACTACTACTACTACTACTACTACTATTACTACTACTACAACTAGTACTACTACTACTACTACTACTACTACTACTACTGCTGCGAGTTCACTGTTACTAACTAAAGCTACTGCTAGACTGTAATCTTACTGCTAATAAAGGTAATTTCAGAAATAGTAGCTACTACGACGACAAACTACTGCTACTACTAGTGCTATTGCGGCTGAGCTAGTGCTACTGCTACCGCTACTACCAACGCTGGTGCTACTGCCACTGCTGCGGGTAAGTAGTAGTACACACCAATAACATTGTCGTTCTGCTGCCACTTCTCCTACGACGTCGTGTTGCTGCTATGACTAGGACGACGAGGCCAGTAGTCCTACTACATGTCTCAATTCGTAGCAGTTCTTTTGTTGCAATTCGTTCACCTCTGTCAGTCATGAGGTCTGAGGAGGCGGCCCTCAAGCGGCGCAAGACCGCCCCCGCAGGCGCCCTCGCCACTGTCCACGGACGGGAGAATTTCATCTTTGGTATGAGCCTAGACTGCAGTGTGAAGTGACGATTAGTAATCGCCTTGCAATCTGTGTTTCCAACTCAGGAAGGAGAATGGATTGGTGCCGTCGCGGGAGCACAAGTTCCTGGGTGGACCAGGGTGGGAGTCCTCGGCCTCGCCCTTCTTGCCGATTCCGTTGCCGGATCCCAACGCCCTCGTCATGGTCCAGCGCTTTGAGAAGGAGAAGGCCCGAGTTATGTTTGTCCCTTGTCATTTACAGCAGTGTCTTTCAACTTAACTTAGCACCTCATGATGACAAGGCGTGGCAGTCGCAGCAGCAGCGGAACCTGGTGAGCGACAGCAAGATCGAGGCAGCGTTCGTTTGAGTTCGTGAGTGTGTCATACATGTTTTTTCCCTGGCTTCGTCGTTGCAGAGCTACACGGCCGACATGGACGCCCTCGACCACGTCCCCCTCGCCCTCTACGAAAGGCCTGACAGATGCATTTCATTGGTATAGTTGGAAATGCAGCCATGTTGATTTGAAGACACTTGTCACAGGTGTGATGTGGTGTGCAAAATGATTTTGCATACCATTCGCATGCCCGACGATGCCACCCGCCTGGTCATCTTCACGCCGGGTGCCGGGACTATGCTGCTGCAGGCAGTGCGACTCAGGGTCCCGTGCCTGGTGGTGTACCATGGCAGCAGTCAGCAGTTGTGCTTGCATCCGTCACTTGCTATCCAGCCCTCGCGTCATCCAAGGTATGCGAACGAGACGCAGAAGCGTCTCGTCCTCGACACCGTCCTCGCCCGTGTGATGGAGGCCGTGATGGACCAGGGAGATGAGCGATTCTTCCGGCCGGAGTTGGCTCAGTCGATCGACCCCGCGCTGCCCGCGGCCACGCCGCCCTCGGCCACGCCGCCCTCGGCCACGCCGCCCGCGCCACCGCCTTCAGTCCCTCCGTCGACCCCGCAAAGGCGCCTCAGCACGGCCTCGGCCCCGTCCGTCATCTCGGGGGCAGACGACGAGGAGGGTGCTGCTAATGACAATGATGATGTCGACGATGACGCCACCACGCAGGAGCTTCCCGGTGGTGCTGAGGATGACCAAAGCGAGTTGTGAGTGACGCCCTCGTCGTCGTCCCCACGCAGGAGCTTCCCGCTGAGGATGACCAGGGCGAGTTGTGAGTGACGCCCTCGTCGTCGTCCCCGTTCTCCTGTCCCTTGGATCCGCCAGCTTAGGGTTAAATATTCAAATAATATTAGACAGAAACCCTATGCAGACAATAATATTTAACAGGATGATCGGGCAGAGATCCACTGGGATGTTTTGATTTGTCAAGATTGCTTAGCCTTGGAGGCGCCGATGCCAAAAACAGCAGCACAGAAAGCAGTGTGTTACTCATGCAATGCGTCTGTCTCGCATCATGTTTGAGAGAACTCAGCTGGGCACCATTCTGTTTTTTATCTGCTGTAGATTCGGGCCAAGCATTTTTGTTGGTGTTATTATTCGTCCTGTCCACTTGTTTGCTATGGCGCGTGGTAAGAAGACTACTGGATCTGCTGCGACTAAGCCCACGGCCGCGGCACCGTCCTCGAAGCGTGGATCTGCTGCGACTAAGCCCACGGCCGCGGCACCGTCCTCGAAGCCTGCACCGTCCTCGTCCTCGAAGCCTTTCCAGTCCTGGGATGCTAGGCGAAAGAAGATGCATCAGAATATGAAGCACGAGGTCGAGCAGGAGCTGAAGCGTCAGTACTCGGAGAAGCTGAGAAACATTCGGAGTGACTTCTCAGGGCGGTACAAGAAGCTCGGACAGAGGATGGAGAATGTGGAGGAGAAGGTCATCGTCCTCGTGACTAAGTTGCAGAAATTTATGGATAAGCTTGAGGATGAGCTGTTCTTTCGCAAACTGTCCGAGTCCAGGCCCTCGCCCACGCTGAGTGGTGCCACGTCCTCGTCCGACGAGGCCATCGACAACGGCGGCGAGCCCAGCGGCGACCTCGACCCCGACCTTCAGATCAACCACCACGCGGACAGTGCTGGCGACCTCGCCCCCGACCTTCAGACTCAGATCAACCACCACGTGGGCAGTGCCGGCGACTTCGCCCCCGACCTTCAGACTCAGATCAACCACCACGCGGGCAGTGCCGGCGACTTCGCCCCCGACCTTCAGACTCAGATCAACCACCACGCGGACAGTGCTGGCGACCTCGCCCCCAACCTTCAGATCAACCACCAGGCGGGCAGTGCTGGCGACCTCGCCCCCGACCTTGACCTGGAAGACAAGCCCGCCGACCTGGCCCTCGACCCCCCGCTGGGCCTGAGAAGGCTTGAGGCGTTCTACGGCGAGGTCTAAACTTTAGCTGTGAGCCTGCGACAAGGATGTGTCAAAATCAGAGCTTGCCGCGTCTGCAATGTGTTGTTGACTCTCAGTGCTTCCATGTCAGTGCTTGGACAGACTTAGCTGCCATTGCCTCATGCCCAGGTTGAGTTGCCTTCGTGCATGACACAGCCGGACCCTGAGCCTTCGTCTGATTGTGGTGTTACTAGTAACAATGTTGACTTAAAGGGGTGCCAAAGCCGCGGCAAGCCATAGGGGGGCTGGTCTGTACTGTGGCCGTATTACGAAGCACAACGCCTGCTTGCCGGTGTTCATGATTTCTACTTACCTGTTCTTCTGAACCCTTGCCTTAAGCTCATCTCGCCACTTCTCCCAGGTGTCTTCATTGCATCCTCCCCTGCTTGGCTGGAGCATCTTCGGCGTGAGCTGGAGGGTGACGCTTGCCTGCGGTTCAGGGTCTAGTCAGGGTAGGGGTTTAGGCCATAATTAAATTAGGACGTTTTTTTCTTTAGGGCTTTGAGGGTTATTTTCGGGAAGGTGTGGGGTTTCGATTCAGGCCCGGTAGGCAACTAACGTGAAATGTACCCTTCAGGAACCCTAAAACCTTAAACCCTTAATAAATGACGAGTCCTTCCTACTTATCTTGGCGTTCTTCCGGTTGGCTCTTTATTATTTGTGATGTTGAATTTTTGACTTTCTATATGGAATGAGGCTAAAAAATAACTTTTAGGGTTTCTGACTGTATATATATGGAACTATAAGGAGGCTAAAATAAAAGTAACTTCTAGGAGGGATTCAGAAGTCAGCCAAGTACTGCTGGCCTGCCAGCCATTGATCTGACTTGGTAACACGCGCGAATAAGTTGATCTCTGGGCCTGAGTTATCATTCGAAACTGTCGGCGGTATTGTGTTCCTGTTGTGATTAGTAGGTTATGCATGCTGAGTCGGATGTTCGCAGTCGTACTTAATTTGCAAGTGCAATCACTCCTCCTTGTCATTATGTGGGATTGTAACCTTATAGATTAAATGCCTGCATGTAGCGTGTATTCTCATTATGACCGTCGTGATCATATTTGTTTTGCTAATTTAATAGCTTGCTCGGAATTGACTGGACATCACATGCCCAATGCGACCCCCTTTAAGTCCGAATCCCCGAATGCCAAACCTCAGCCCAGACACTCCCTTGATCGAGGAAGATGGCTTCACTACTTATTATTAGTCGTACTACTAATTTATGAAAGTGGAAAGCTCTGCTCGAATCCCCTTCCGAGGACACGATCCACTACTTTTCCTGCCACTTCGCTTTTCACCGAATGCTGGACGAGGATGCCTCAAAGGTTTTCCACAAGGCCTTGCGTCTATGGTGTGGAGTCTAAAGCGCACTTAAAAATAACATGCGAAGACGCATTTTCACAACTCAAATACCCAGGTTGAAGCTGGCCCAGTTCAAGAAAGTACAGGCCCCAACACTCTTCTAAATCATATGAATGAATGCCCATGGTCGAGGCTGACAGTGTCAACGTCATCCTGCCACAACTTCTCGAACAAAGGCAAAGCTTATGGTTCATAAGCCTTGCCTCTGTTCGAGAAGATGTGGAGCAAGACCTGAGGCGGGGCCTGCGAGTGTTGTCTCGGGGTTCGACATGCACCATCCTAGATACTACTACAGATCTATCACTTTGGAAACTCCATGAAGTGCAATGTAGCGCCGTAGTAGGGCCCAGGGTTACCGATTAAGGGTTGAGTAAGTAAACCTACTCCATCCAAGAGAACGCAAGACGACCTCGATTCTTCGAAAGATGCCGAAGGTGTCGGCGCAGCATCCCCATGCGCGGTTGAGTTCGAGTTGCTTGGCAGCCGCCCAAAAGAGCCGAAACCCCTTAATTCAGACTGGGTTGTGCTTCTTACATATGGGATAAATTATTTACTGACCTGAAGAGAACCTTTTGTACAACAACAAGGTCCAGGTGCTCGGAAATCTTTGCATATTAGGCCGGTAGGCTCTGGGGTTCGGTTTAGGAAAGCCCTGCAGATTGAATAATAAAGCACTGTATGTTATATTTCAGGGTTTCCGGCACCTGACTTTAGTGAGTCTACGAGTATTATGCTAACTACTACGGCGACGTCTTAGACAAGTCAGTACAGTACTACTACTGCCAGCTACTACTAACTAGACTGACTACGACTACTACTACTACTACTACTATTACTACTACTTATTACTACTTACTACTACTAATACTACTGCAAGCTCAAACTGCTACGAGTACTAGTACTAGTACTAGTACTAGTACTACTACTACTACTACTACTACTACTACTACTACTACTACTACACTACTACTACTACTACTACTACTACTACTACTACTACTACTACTACTACTACTACTACTACTACTACTACTACTACTACTACTGCTACTACTACTACTACTACTACTACTACTACTACTACTACTACTACTACTACTACTACTACTACTAGATTACCACTACCAGGGACCACTACCACTACCACTACCACTACCAGGTACCAGGTACCACTACCACGACCACCACTACTACTACTACTACTACTACTATTACTACTAACTGCTACTACCTACTACTGGACTAACGTTTGCTACTACTACTACTACTACTACGACGATCGCTACTAAGTAATCCTACTGCTACTCCTACCGCTACTCCTACTGTAGACTACAACTGCTACTACTACTGCTATTGCTACTGAATGAATACTACTACCAAGCAACACTACTACTACTGACTACTACTACTACTACTACTACTACTATTGCTACTAGTACTACTATCACTTCTACTACTACGACTACGACTACTACTACTACTACTACTACTACTACCACTACCAGCTACCACCGGTACTGAGACGACCTTGAGCTAGGCCAAGACGTACGATGCAGGTCGAGACCGTCTTAGGACGACCGAGTCAGGTCGAGGTAAGTCTAGGTTCGACCGAGACAGGTCGTGACCGATGCAGGTCGCAATGTTGGAAACCCTAATGATGAACTAGTACCGGTTGGTAGTGGTTGCGATGGTACCAGTAAACTTATCAGTTTAGTGCTAGTCGCCGAAGTACCAGCATCTGTTGTAGGTGGACATGAAGCATCTTCCGGTAGTTGATGAGACCCCCCAGGTTCAGAGCCGACTTCATTGCAGGCTTCGTGACAACCAGCAGGCCAGGCCACAGAGAGACAGTCTCGTCATGTCGATTCTTGATACATCCTGTGGCCACTCGTCATGTCGATTCTTGATACATCCTGTGGCCATAGTTGAAGTTTAAATTTGATTGAATTCTTATCATACTCAGTAGAAGCGGTAATATTTTGCCCTGGGTTGCTTAGCACAGTACTTTAATAGTAGTACTAGTAGTGACTAGTGGTGGTGGTAGCCGTAGCAAAACACTTAAGTTATTTATTTTTTCTTAATAGTACAAGCAGTAGAGTGTCGTAGTAGTGGCACTCTAGTTTGTTAGTAGTACAGTCTTAGTAGTACTGGTAGTCGTAGTAGTAGCAGTAGTAGTAGTAGTAGTCAGTAGGTCAGTAGTTTTACTTAGTAGTACTGTAGTAGTAGTAGTAGTAGTAATGGTAGTAGTCTAGTAGTAGTAGTAGTAGTAATAAAAGTAGTAGCAGTAGTAGTACTGGTAGTAGTCTAGTAGGTAGTGGTAGTAGTAGTAAAAATATAAGTATGATTTAAATTAGCAGTCAGGAGCAGTAGTTAGTAGTAGTAGTAGTAGTAGTAGTAGTAGTAGTATCACTACTACCAGTGCCAGCCTTGTAGTAGTGTTAACAATGAGTAGTAACAGTTGACCGTTGCTACTAATAAGACTGGGTAGTAGTAGTAGTAGTAGTAGATAAGTAGTAGTAGAAGTAATAGTAGAAGTAGTAGAAGCAGTATATTCAGTAGTTTTACTTAGTACTAGTAGTAGTAGTAGTAGTAGTAGTAGTAGTAGTAGTAGTAGTCAGTAGTTTTATTTAGTAGTACTGCAGTAGTAGTAGTAGTAGTAGTAGTAGTAGTAGTAGTAGTAGTAGTAGTGGTAGTGGTAGTGGTAGTAGTAGTACTAGTAGTAATAGTAGTAGTAGTAGTGTTGCTTGGTAGTAGTCTTCATTCAGTAGCAGTAGCAGTAGTAGTAGCAGTTGTAGTCTACAGTAGGAGTAGCGGTAGGAGTAGCAGTAGGATTACTTAGTAGCAGTCGTGGTAGTAGCAGTCGTTAGTCTAGTAGTAGGTAGTAGTAGTCGTAGTAGTAGTAGTAGTAGTAGTAGTAGTAGTAGTAGTAGTAGTATTAACAGTAGTAGTAGTAGTAGTAGTAGTAGTAGTAGTCGTAGCAGTAGTAGTAGTAGTAGTAGTAGTAGTAATAGTAGTCGTAGTCTAAATAGTTAGTAGTAATTGTCGCAGTAGTAGTAGTAGTAGTAGTAGTAGTAGTAGTAGTAGTAGTAGTAATAGTAGTAATAGTCGTAATAGTAGTACTAGTAGTACTAGTAGTAACAGCAGTAGTACAGTAGTCTTCTGTTAACTAAATCATGTCGTAGCAGTATCATCAGATCTTGGTCAGATTATCAGCAGCAGGAGCACAAATAGTAGAGTAGTGCTCACAGGAGGGACAGCACTAGGGACAAAGCTCATTCCTTTCAGTGTCATGCATGTCAATCTATCGCAGCTTTGACCTCCAAGCTGCTGACTGACGCTAGCGACATGGAACCGCCCTCGCCCCTTGCTCCTGCGCCTAGTGCACCCGCGTCCTCGCTGTCGTCCACGCGTTATGCAAAGCGAGTTGATAAGATGAGAAGTGCAGTTAAAGCAGAAGTGATGCAGACCTTGAAGCCAGCGTTCACGAAGAGGCTGCGGGCAGTGCGCTTGCGGAACGCAAAGCGGTTTATAGAGCTGGCCAGATGCGTCATCCGCGTCGGGGCCAGGCTGGACACCTTTGAAAAGCGGATGGATGTATTCATGGAGACATTGAGCGAGGAGTTTGGAGTGTCCTCGTCCTCGTCTTCGGGGTCGTCCGAGTCCTCGCAGCAGCGCCTTGCACAGCAGGACAGAATGCGGATAAAGCTGAGCCTACTTATAACTAAACTACTGCTGGTAGTACTATTAGTGCTGGCACTAGTACTAGTACTAATAGCACTACTACTGCTACTACTACTACTACTACTGCTGCTACTTTACTAGACTACTAGACTACTACTACTACTACTACTACTACTACTACTACTACTACTACTACTACGACTACTACTATTACTACTGCTACTACTACTACTACTACTACTACTACTACTACTACTGCGACAATTACTACTAACTACTTAGACTACGACTACTATTACTACTACTACTACGACTACTACTACTACTACTACTACTACTACTACTACTACTACACTACTACTACTACTCCTACTCCTACAATTGCTACTACTACTACTACTACTGTACTACTATCTACTTTCACTACTAATGACAAACAGACTAAATGTCCACGGCGACAACTGCGAGTACTACTTTTATTTTTATTACTACTACTGCTACTACTATTAATTATAGCTATTGTTACTGACTACTACTGCCACTGCTACTAAGTACCACTACCATTCCCATTATTACTTACATGAACTCCAGGTTGATTGTTGTGACATTCAGTTTGTACTTGATTTTTCTTGGCTGCTGTTGCTTGTGTTTCATGCTTAGTACAAGCATACAGTCGTTGCATCATCAGTTGTATGTGAGTGCACACATGAAGCAAACTCGTGATAATCAAAGTCTTGCTATTAGTCTTTGTATCGTCAACAGGACGTTCGAGCTGAGAGAATGATGCAAGAAACTGCAACATGGCAAAGGTACCCGAACTTGTGGCATCTGACTTAACAGTCAGTAGGCGAAACAGAGCTTGGTTATCTTTCCTCAAGTAGGGTGTCATTTCTACTTGTTCCTCAAGTGTTTTTTCCGGTCCCTGGGGGTGTATGAATTTTGTTTTAAACAATGATCTGTTCTTCTGATCCGGCAACTGGACAGGAGTACGAAGAATGGAAAACTGGCTTTGCTGAGTCTGCCCCAGTCCCCGCCCTCGATGGCAAGGACCCTGCTGACAGGCCCGATGGTCGGATGATTGGCAACGAGGGCGAAGCCTTTGATAAGCCTGGTGCTGTCGATGATAGCGAGGGCAAAGCGGAATCATGATGATCCAGTTGGTTGCACTGCATTGGATGGACAATCGTAAAATGCTTGTCAAGCGCCATTGTTGTTTGTTTGGCTGATTCTGCAGCAGAAATTAATTTTGTGTAGTTGCAGTGCAGATGGTCCTCGTCCTCGCTGATGGACGGAGCAACTTCTGCATTTGTGCGGGAAATAAATAATCGATAGCGGTTCCCAGTTGCAGTGCAGATGACCCGCGGGGCCCTTGCCTATCGAGCAACTTGAATGCGATGCCGGTTTGAGATTCTTCAGGACCAAGTGACCCTAATCGTTGATAGCCCTTTCGCTGTGCATCATGGCGACTGCGGGAGAGGCCAGAGCACTGGCTGCTGTTGCAGCTGGCTTCTAGGCAGCATTGGCCAGAGAAGCAGAACCAGTCTTGCATGTCTCAGTGAGTCTGAATCCCACAGGAGTCACGAAGAATCCGGCGTTCAAGAACTTAAAGGACGTGTCGCCAATGGAATCGGTGCCGACCTGGGAGCAGGCCAGGGAGCCAAAGGACACTTAGTAAATCGAAAGACAAGCAGATCACTAGAGCCAGGCCTCTACCATCCTCGCCCTCTTCAGCCAGACGAGCGGTTCCTCGAGCAAGACCGTGCGTCCTCGCAAGCTGAACCTGGGACTTTGTAAATCATCTGGGAAGAAGAAAGACGGCAAGGGCACTGCGAAGGGCGAGGGTGAGAAGTACTTCGTTGAGAAGAGGTTTCCCAATCTTCAAAAGGCCCTCATGTCGATGTTCCTCAACTCGTTCTTTGGATGCACACAGCTGGCGTCGTAGTTGAAGTGTCATTGGGCCGTCATAGCTTTGCAAGCAATTCGTGATTGAAAGTTTGTCGCACAGGTACAAGGGGTCGGGCCCACGTCCTCGCATGACCTCCTTGACGATCTGGATCAACCCGACAAAGGGTGAAAAGGGCATCCTTGTGCCAGGCCATGTCTGACAGTTGGTTTTAAGGTATCACTGGATTCTCGGTTCATCAGGCACGAAGCAGACGCCGTCCTCGGGAATCATCTTCGCGACCGGCAAGCCCACGGACTGGAAGGATGACAAGCCAGCAGGCACAGCCGCCACTCCGCATTGCTCGAGTCTTGTACACATTGACATATGAAGGCAAGCTCTGGCAGTGCCATGGCCTCACAGAGGGGAACAGCAGATCTTTGGACGTCTTCGACAAGGCCAACATCGGGAGCATGTTTGGTAAATAACCAGTTTGACGACTACTACTACTACTACTACTACTACTACTACTACTACTACTACTACTACTACTACTACTACTACTACTACTACTACTACTAACTAAAACTACTACTACTACTACTACTACTACTACTACTACTACTACTACTACTACTACTACTACTACTACTACTACTACTACTACTACTACTACTACTACTACTACTACTACTACTACTACTACTACTACTACTACTACTACTACTACTACTACTACTACTACTACTACTACTACTACTACTGCTACTGCTACTGCTACTGACGACTACTGCTACTACTACTAGTACGACTACGACTACTACTTCTACTACTACTACTACTACTAGTACTACTAGTAATACTAAAACTACGACTACTACTACTACTACTACTACTACTACTACTACTACTACTACTACTACTACTAGTAACTACTACTATTACCACCATTACTACACGAGATTGAAGTACATTTCTCAGAATTTAACAGCTGAGCAGGCCCTCGTCCTCGACCTGCGGTTCCCCTTGGCCTTCCCGGCGGAGAACTCCGCCCTCATGTACGTCCTCGCCCGGGATATCAAGGTGAAGGACGACACCTTGCCTGCCACCGTCCTCGCCGACTTGAAGGCCCTCGGGTACAACAACGTCCGCGACCCCGTCCCCGTTAACAACGACCTGCTGGAGGCCAAGGATAAGATCAAGCTGGCCGCGAAGGTCTTTCGCTCCCAGGCAGCGAAGAGGCCTGTTGAGCGGAAGCTGTGCCCTCACTGCGGCAAAGAGGCTCGAGGGTCTTTGCACGAAAGGGTTTTAGATTTATGGGTTTGGGGCTTATAATAATATACAATGCTGCACCTTGTCATTTGTCCATTGCACTGCTGCCTGACCAGGTCAACATCAGGCCGTTGGCGAAGGCCAAGGCGTCCCCGTCACCGCCACCGCCCCCGCCGTCCTCGTGAGTGCAGCCGCCCCCGCGGTCCTCGTGAGTGCAGTCGGCATAGGTCCTCGTGAGCACAGCCACGATTTGCAGGCATAGGTCCTTGCACAATTGTAATTTTGAAGAGACGTGGACAAAATTGGGATTGCCCTTAAACCTAAATCATTTGACAAGGATTAATTATTATAATAACTGTCTTATAATAGGCGATTTTGGGCTTCTACTAGAAGCAGTTTGCCCGTGTCCTCGTCATCTGTCAGACAGGAGACAGCCGTAGAAACCTGCGGCATAAGCTGCGAGCCAATCCCAGCTGAGGCGTCAAGAAATTCAATGCAAGAGTGCGACTTAGCTTGGGGATCCGAGCCTGAATAGCTCCAGAAGTGACACCCCCAAATGCGTGACCGTCAGACATCAGTAACAGACTCCTGCAGCCAGGGATTGATGCAAAACTGTTTTGCACGCTGCTTGTCCAATGTCGTTGCAGTGTGATACTAGAGCTATGCTTGTAAGCGGCTTGGGTCAACCCTCAGCTGGGAATGCAGGTTAGTTTAGATTTGCACGTCTAGACTGTACCTTCTAGATTTTCGTCCTGGCCCTTTAAAGAGTCATTCTACGCCTTCGCCCACGCTACCTAGAATCTTAATCTAAGCTACTGTCGCTCTACAGACCTCGCCACCGTAGGTGAGGGTGGGTTCAAGTTTTACTGTGGGCGAGGGCGATTCATTCTAGTCAGTGGGGCCATGACTTGCGACCTCCTGATCGTCCTCACGGATGGACAGCGGGGGATCCCAGATTTAACACGATAAGGCCGGGTGAGGCTGTCGGTGCGGGGGCGAGGGCGGGGACTCAGACTCAAATCAACAAGCCGAAGAAATAGGTGAGGCATGTTGTAGTTTGATCTTGAAGCCGCCCTCGGGTGCAATTTAATGTTGAGAAGCCGCCCTCGGGTGCTGTTTTGACCCAAGCGTTCGTGGATGCTTCGCACACAGTCGGCGCGAAAAAAACGTGAGAGCAAGTGTTGCCATTGCAAGTCCATGACGACAGCATTGAGACTCCTGGCAGTCAGTCCGAGAGGAGGGCATGATTTTGCATTCGCTGCTGCTGCAGGTGGTGACGCTGCGTGCTGCCAACGTGCCAGGCTCGCAGGACGACAATATGATATGCATGACTTAGTCGTCCAGGGCTTAGAACTTTGGCCGAGTCGTCGTATTTTATGCTAAGGCTTTTCTTTTAATGTCATATTATCATTGTCATGGGTACCAATGGCTGTATTCATGTGCTTCCGGGCATGGGGGTTTGGGATTAATTTCTTAGGGTTAGGGTTGAGGGCCTAGGGTTTAGGGTTCTGGCTGAAGGGCTTAAAGGGCACAGTTCCTAAGCCTAGGGTTTAGGGTTCTAGCTAAGGGTTTTGGGTTCAGGGATCTTTCGGATCCTTTAGAATAGGTTTTCAGGGATGATTTTGGGAGGATTGGCCCCGAAGTGCTTTGAATACTGGGGGGGGGTTGACTTAAAGTGGGAAGTCTGCATTATACATTCTCGTCTCAGTCGTGCGTAGGCAATATTTAAGGACTCGAACAGAGTTTCGGATGTGAAGAACAAAAATAATAATGCCTGGGGGCTTCATGTCATGGGTGGTGAGGTTGTGTCCGGACGGTTTATGAAATTGGCTACTAACAAATAATAACATTACAAGGATTTTTGGAGTTAAGGCTCTAGGGGATTGTGGCTTAGAGTTTCAATGTCAGTCGTCAGTTCCAGTGTTGAGTCTTCTGGTTCCCACTTCGAGGTTTGATTAAGGGGTTAGGCTTTGGCGGTTTACTCCCCCGAACTCCTGGAGCTTAATAATACCTGAAACCCTAAACCCTGAACCCTAAAGCCAAGCCCGGAACCCTGCATCTCAAACCCTGCGCATTGAACCCTAAACCTGAAACCCCAAATCTTGAAGTAATAAGCCCTAATCGCTGAGCTGTTTAAAAGAGGTTTGTGCCAGTGCAGTGAATAGGCATCGGGTAGGAAAATACGGGTGTCACCAGGTCTTAACGTGAAGCCGCCGTAGTACCTGCTAGCTTACCCAGAAGATTGAAGGGGACTTGGGGCACGGGGTCAGGTTAGTAGTGAAGCCGGCCGAGCTGGCTTGAAACACTGACTGCAGCGAAGGCTGCCAGTCGCTGCCAGAGCGTGGGCAGATCTCATCAAGCCGCACCACACCAGGCGGAGCACTGAATGCCTTTCACGCTTCGGCGAATGAGCCAAGGTTTTCGAGAAACAGCATTGGTGCAGATACCCCGAGATTACGGCAAGAGGACGCGATCCCAGGGATCGGTTGCCGAGGGGTCCAATGGCAGAGGGCTTTCCCTCCGTGCACCGCGCGGCTCCGGCCCGACGCAAGAGATGGCCCAATGGCCGAGGAATCCTGAGGTTCGTGAGTACTTGATTCACAAGCCCTGGATTTTCTTGCCTGATGAGAGACCTTCAGCGAGAACACCGAGACCGCCGAGATCGCAGGGTAGGCTTAGGCCCGAGCCCTTACACCCACTCTCACCGTCAATAAATGTAAGACTAGTAGGGCATGTTGGGGGTCTGATATTCACTGTGTTCTTCTTGGATTTCCAGTGTAGTCATTTAACTTGTCGGTGCTTCAAACCGAAGCCTCCCCCACCCTAATCTGTACTTTAATAAACCCTCAACCCCAAACCCTACTACCCTAAAACCTAAACCGCCAATCTGCTTGCAAAAGCTCCTCCTGAGTGCAGTTTAGGGTTTAGAATTTTAGGCGTGAGATTTTGCAGCATGGACAATAGGATCATTTTCGCAGGGATCGTAACATAGACT